AGAATCTGTAAATACCCAGTGCAGTGTTTGTCACAGAAATAAATAAGCATTTCTATTGCCCTCCTCTTTCTTTAGTCCTGTCTCCGGATCAGCCTTTTGGACAAATGGGCTTGCCGTTGCACACTGACAGTGCTCTCAGAAGCGTACCTATCACCTTCATCCATCACACAGTGGGAGAAGCAACGACAGCAAGGAAGGGAATGCTTGACAGTAGACAATGGAGTAGAGGGTCCCGATCGTGGGCAGAAACAGGCCATGTCTTGGGGAATCTTCACAAGCACTGACGGGGCAGCCAGCAGGCACAGGCTGGGCTCTTCTCCATCAAGGGTTTTCCAGTCTTTACCTGGAATTTTGTGAGCCATTAACTATTCAATGTTGTATATAAACCGGGTCCTTCAAAAGAATATTCGTGGAGCTTTGGACCCCAAGAGTAGTCCAGGTGTGTGGGCAGGGCGCCCGGAGGAGGAGAAAGCAGGCTTGGTGCCTTTCTGCCAGTCGATGGAGGAGGGGCTGTTACCATGAGCAACAGCAGGTGCTCTCCCTTTCATCCCGTGGAACGTCCTTAGTCCAAAACCTGAGGCTCCCAAGTAGTATGTGCCATCACAAGCCTGATGACTCAACGCTGACACAAAATTGTTAAAGCTACTGCATAAAAATTTCCCAGGCTAGGTGTATAGGAACATATCCATCAATTTCAGGTATCTCATTACACAGGTACAATGAATCCAGAATTTGAAAATCATGTGAAATTCGAACCACTGTAACACTCTGCATCTCAGAGAAGGGATGCTCAGTCTGTGATTGATAGCCTCTCCACGTCTCAGAGCCACAGCGGCCACTGACCACTTTGTCACTACATCTTCATGTAAAATGTGTACAGTTTTACCTCTCTGTTGAGCAAACATTTTTATTGCAACCTGGAAGTGATCTCCATTCTAAACTAACTTGTTTTTAATCAAATCTTCAGATATGCTGGGAAAGTCAGCCTTTGCGCTTGGTAACTGCAGCTGGCTGGGACAGCACATCTGTCTATTTGCTGTCTTTTCTGTTTTCTGGGCCTCTCTCAGAACTGGTGCTTCACAGAGCCAGGAAACACGTGTCAGGAGCCCTGGGCTCAGAATAGATTCACTTGTATCCCTGCTCCTCTCTGACCTATCAAGAACTCAACACTTTGCTCCCTTTCAGCTCTGGCCTCTCTGACCTGAAGGTTTTTCTGAATGCCTAGAGCACACACTCATCCTTAATTAAACCCTTCCGAAGGTGTTGCCAGCCAGCTCCCTGGGGTGAGGGGTGGGTAGCGGGGGGGCTGAACTTGCCAGCTCAGCAATATTCCTACTTTCATTAAGTCAGCAATCACTCTGGCCTGCACTTGGGTCACCAATAAATATCAGTGAATTGATTGATTCTATGAAGTCTTTGCACTTAGGGAAAGGAATGAAAAACTGTGATGAATGAGTTTGTATCCATCAACCTTTATTGCTCCATTTGCTTCTAAGCTTTTCACACTGCTAAGTCTGCTTTTGTCCCTATCTAATAGGCATGATGAACAGGGCTTCAGAGCCAGCTGTGCAGACGTTTTAATATGACAGTCAAAGCTCTCCTGAGACCAAGTCTTTGTTTTCTCTACTCTCACAACGCCATCGCCATAGATCTGAAGTATTGCGTTGATGTCGGCATTTGGCCTAGACCTTCAGATGCCTGACTCTCATGTCAGAGCACCTGTGTTCAGCTCCTGGCTCTGCTCCTGACCCCAGCCTACCCGAGAGGCAGCAATGATGGCTCGGGTAACAGGGTTCCTGTCATCCATGTGGGGAGACCTGCATTGAGTGTGCAGGACCCAGCTCCCACCTGGCTCAGCTACAGCTGCTGCAGCCATTTAGGGAGTGAATCCACAGATGAAACTTCTGGTGCCTGTGTGTTTTTCTCTTTTTATCTCTCAAAAAGACTTTAAAAAGAAAGCAAAGTGTGATGCTTTTTGTTTACCGTTCACCTGAGATTGTGCTTTCTGCTGTCCTTCCTGGCAGTCTCGTGGTTATCCCTCGTGCTGCCTTCACAGCTCCTCTCTCCTCTCCTTGACTTGCCGGTGAAGGCAGAGCGCTGTAAGTACAGCACAGTGCCCAATACCCCACCAAGCCATCCCTCAGCAAGAGCAGTGAGCAGGCTGTGGTTCACAGTGCATGATTTTAATTTTTATTTATTTTCATTCTTATATTTGAAAGTCACGGAAAGAGAGAGACAGAGAAAAATCTTCTGTCTGTTGATTCACACCCCAGACAGCCCACAACAGCCAAATCTGGGCCAGACAGAAACCAGGAGCCCAGAACTCTGTCTGGGTCTCCTACTTAAAGCAGCCGGGGTCCAGGTGCTTGATTCCCTGGCCACATCAGTAGGGAGCCGAACTGCAGCTGGAGTAAAAGGGACTTGAACCAGGAACTCCAATTCGGGATGTGGGGAACCCACATAGCATCTCAACCACTGGGCCAGATGCCTACCTCAGCATCCGGCTTTGAAAGAGGGATCTACGCCAGATTTTTTTCCCTTCCCAAATAGTAGGCATCCAGGCAGTGAGGTGCATTTCTGTAGAACGCCTCAGGTTTTAGAAGGCAAAGCCAGCTTTTCTCTTCCACACATTAGGCATCTGCTCCAGAGATGTTTATTCCAGCCAAGCTGGCACCTGGGCACCAGGCGGGTGGGATGTGGGTCACTGCTCACCATGCAAGCAGAAAAAAGGAGTTAGTGGTCAGGGCTCGGCCAGAAATACAATCGTCACATGCCACTAAGAAATGCTCTGAGAACTATTACCTGGGAAAATGAAAACACACTTTCTGCAGGCAGCGAATGTTGTCCTTGACAGCTGCTGCTGGTCTCAGTTCTGTCTTGGAACAGCCTGTCACACTGAACCACTGCTAGACGCTGGGGCCACACCTCAGACAGGATTCACGTCTGATTCCGCATCTTGGAGGGCGCAAGAAGGATCTGGTACAGCTGGCAAATTGGCAAGGAGGGACTTAATCCACAAGGCGGTATTGGGCCTTTGAGGGGGCTAAGAGCGAAACAGGCCACTCCGGAATACGCTACTTTGGCATAAAGCTGCTTTTCAGCAGAAGAAAACTGGGAGGAGTCTGAAACAGGACGAGTTCTCTGTCCTCCCGCTGTTGTCCCAAAACCGAATACCCATCTGCAAAGGAGACACCTTCCCTCCTTTTCCGGGACGGACAGAGGTTCACCGTAGGTGACACATGAGCACTAGAAGAAGCACTAGCGGAATGTCTGTCACAAACTTCCCCAACCTGCACTGACCCACCATTGCTCCCCCATATGCGTCATCTGCACCCCTTCCCATCACAGAGAACATGATCCACAGCTGCCCTTGCATGAAATGGTATAGCTTTGCATCTTGCGTGGGACCTAGGAACATCCTCCCTTAAATCACCTCTAGATCACGTAGAAGAGCTAATGCAATGTAAATCCTCCGGAAATTGCTGCTAAACTGTGCTGTTTAGAGAATAACAGCAAAAAAACAATCTGTGCGTGTTCAGTGCAGACACCGTTTTTAAGATTTTTGATCAGCAGTTGGTTGAATTTATGGATGCAGAACCCACAGATAAGGAGAGCTCATTGTACTTGCCTCCCCTCCCACAATTTGTCACCCTGGGAAGCTCAACATGCTTGTCCATTCATTACTTGGCCACACATTTACTGCTCTTGGTTAACACACTGTGTAAGTTTAAGTTCCAACCATCCTTTGAGTTGCTGTTTGCTGAGTTCTCTGGTACGTGAGCTCCACGCATGCATTAATGAACCTCATCGTGGGGGCTGACACTGCGGTGGAGAGGGTTTGATTATTGTGTATGACATCACCATCCGATGTGGGAACATCCCATGTGAGTCTCCGCTGTTTTCTGCTTTTCCTTCAGCTCCCTGACCATGCACTTGGAAAGACAACGGAAGACCCAAGACTTGATCCCCTGCCACCTGTGTTGGACACCCGAGTGAAGCTCCTGGCTTTGGTTCCTGCCTGGTCTAGACTTGGCTGTAGCAACCATTTAGGGAGTAAACTAAAGAATGAAAGATCCCTTCTGTATCTCCTTCTCCTTTTCAATTTCATACACAGATGAATCCTTTTTTTTTTTTTTGTAAAACATAGTCTGTGTTTTATCAGTCTGATTTGACTGCCAAGGGATACTGAGTGGGTTGAAGCAGAGACCACTCCCTCCTCTGCACGGGCTGTCCTGGCCAGAAGAAGGGGAGGGACATTGTTCCCAGCTTACCCCTCCCACCCAGTCCTTGGACACTCTGGTTGGGCTAGAAAAGATAGCTGTAGTTTCACATTTTCACTGAAACAAAGAAAATAAATTTTAAGCTCAAGATATGAGCCAAGTAGTAGCATTTGGAAATTACTCTTAAAATACATTGTTTCTGAAAAAAATAAAAGAATCAAGATAAAGGTGAAAAAGAATTAGGGATAAACAGTCCTGTAGGTAGGATTATATCAGGAAAGAATATATAACCAAAAAATAACACTAAGATGAAATCTTTAGGCGAGAGCATTGTGGGGCAGTATGTCAAGCCATCAATTGAGGTACCTGTATCTGCTGTGGAAGCACTAATTCCAGGCCCAGCAGCTTCTTACATTTTAACGTGCATGGCACAGAGATTGTCACAACCCAGCTAACAACAGACGCTGCTAAGAGACGGGAGGTGGGGGTGGGGGGGGGGGGGGGGGTGGTGAGGAAGTAGCGACCAGGGGGGTCTGCGTAAAACCTAAGGAGCCCCAAACATCCTGCGCCGCTTGCTTTTACTGAATTTCATAGTTGCAGTACCAGCAATTCGTCAATAACTTCTTGTGAAGACAACCTTTAGATGCTTCAATGGAAGGAACATTTGACAATACAAGTGACCACTCCAGAATGATCTACAGAACAATCATACATTTTCAGGTTGATTTAGTTTTACTTTCCAGACCCTGTACCATTCACTCACAATCAAAGGTGCCAGGCTGTCTGGTGTGTGTGTACTGACCCCTGGAATCAGGTAACTCTTTGATCGCTATCTGATTAATCCGATGGTGGAAGCAAGCACCCCCAAGTAGTCATTCCTGCTGGTCAGCATGACCACAGGCATTGCCGCAAGCCGCTGCGTATTGTTCTCTTCAGATTTCTTTAGACGGAGATCAAAAGCACTGCAGACACAGGCTAGGTCAAAAGTAGGTCATTTACCGCTCCAGTAGACAGCCAGCAAGAGAGCCTGTGAGTTTCAGGGTTTGGGGGTTTGGAATTGCTGCATTTGCTTTCCGTGGATATTGGGAGGGAAGCCCCTTTTTTTCCCATGGAAGGTGGGGCTTGATCCATGGGAGCAGGCTCCTCCTCCTGTGCCTTAGTGTCCCCAGGCGTGCCTGGTTCTGCCCTGGTGGCAGTGGTGGGTGCCAGTCTGAGGGCACACACACACTCTTCTGGGGCTTCTCAGCAGTTTGATGTTCTCCCTGGGGATCACATCCATTGCTTCCTAAAGAGATACTGCTTCTCTCCCTTCCTTGCTGGCCTCACCGCCCCTCTCTCTCCCAGTGGGGAGTCATTTGCTCACTACCCCTGCCTTGGGAGATGGGTCCTGCAGCCCCCTGAATGCATCAAAATCCCTGTATAAAATGTCCCCTGTATAAAATGGAGGCAGGATTTGCCTAGAATTCCTGGGGAGCAGGGACATTACCTGGTGTGTGTATGAGAGGAAGCACAGTGGCAGGGACCATTAGTGGGCATTTTCCGAGTTTGAGCTGAGATGGACTTTCCTACACTGCTCTTCAATGCACATTCCCCACTGAAGGTGCCTAGACTCCTAATTCCAGCTCCTGACTCCAGCTTCCTGGCGGTGCAGACCCTGAGGGGTGGCTCCAGCATCTCAAGCTCCTTGTAACCCACTCAGAAGGCCTAGATTGAGTGCTAGCTCCCAGCTTTGCCCATCTGGCCCATAGTACACATTTAAGGCGTGAGCCAGCAATTGGGAGCTCTTTCTCTCTCTCAGTGTTTCTCAAATAATAAAGTATTTCCAAAATTAAAAATTTTAATGAGAAGGAGAGAAGAGTAGCCAGCACAAGAAAGAAAGGCCTAGACTCTGGGCCGAAAGCCTAGGCCTAGCGCTTACTGTGGGACATGTTACGAGGTTAGATGACCATGAACCTCTGTTTCTTCAATTGTGAAGCAGGCAACAGTAGCCTGATGCACTGTCTGTCTGCTTACCCACCTACCTGTGCCCCCCAAAAGGAGGAGCTGGCCAGCTGAGGGGCCCATAACCTCCTGACCTTCACTGCAAGTTCAGTTCCTGCAAAAAAAAAAAAAAAAAAAAAAAAAAAAAAAAAAAAAACACCCGGAGAGTCCTGCTTCCTCTCCAGCTGTCCACTGCTCCCCTAGACTCACTCCTGTGCTCCAGTCTCAGAGACGGTGGGGCAAAGGGAAGGTGATGGGAGGAAGGGAGGCTGGCAGGCCTGTAGATAAAGTGTCTGTGGCAAATCTTTGCGCAGGACAAAGTTGTGTCTCTGTTACTAGGTAAGACACAAACAGATATGGAAATGCAACCAAATGTTGGTCACTTTGGTTCAAACCGTAATTGAAGATTTTTGAAATTTTACCGTGTCTATTGTCCGTTGTTACTGCGTGGAAATGCAAATGGCATGGGGCCAAAGGTGTTCATTGGGGACGCAGCTGGCAACTGCAGAAACCCCAGGTATACAGACATTCATCACGATGTGACCCTGTCCTCAGTTAGGAAAAGCAAGACGCAAGCCTCAGCGGGGGCTCTACAACCCAGGAACTCCCCCTTTGCCATGGCTAGCTCCTGACTTGAATCTGTAGCGATTTTGGATTGCTGCTTGGATCTGGGGCGGATGGCTGTGCTCGGCCCCAGTCCCGGCCAGCCGGCTCAGGCTCCTCCAGCTGCAACCTGTGAACCTGGCACCATAGAACCCTACTGGCAGAACCAACTCTCCCCGTGAAGGAATCAGAACGTGGAGTGCCTTCATTTGATCATTATTGAGCTTTAGCTGATTTGAACACCCCTAAGCACCTCAGGCCTTCAGGTCACTTACAGATCTTTTTAGGCCAGTTATAGATCTTGCACCATTTCTGTAAGGTGAGGATGTTCCTCAAAGCTGTGATTCTTTTGAGAGGTCCCTCTGATGGAGACAACAAGGAAATGTTCTTTGTAGAAAATCCATCTGAGTTATAAAAACCAAGACTTTGCTCTCTGCCCCCAAAGCCATGGGGCCCCAGTGGGTGTCTTCCTTTACCCGGTTCAACATTCTAAGTGCCAGCTGCTCCCCGAGGACTCCCCACCTCTCTACTGGGGCATCCTGCCCTGCTCCCACGGGCTCACCATGCTACCGGACTTGAATATCTGCATCTCAAGAGAAAACAAAAGAATCTTTCATTATCCTTACTACTAGCTCGTCTCTCCAGGCTGTTCATTTCCTTTGCTTTCAGCACAGGGTGATTGCATAGACCACACTGCTGCCTCTAACAGTGACATTTTTTTTTCCTCCTGTTTACCCATTCCCATCTTGCAATCCCTTGATACTCTGCCTGGGAGAACTGGCGCCTTTTGCATCCTTTTTTATTTCATACTAACATTTGCACATGCCCTGTAGGGATTCTGCAATACTACTAGGGAGAAGTAAACAGCAGCAGCTTGGCCCTACATTTGGAGCCGATCACAAGACAAACAGTAACCAAACACAACTCTGGCCACAGTCAGTTTTCTTAATGAGAAGAAAAACCGTCACATAAGATGACACTTGTCTGACAGTGTTTCTGATGGCTTCACCCAGGACCATACTGTTTATCCTGAACTAACCTTCCAAGAGGTGACTGTGTCAACATCTGGGCTGTACCACAAACCACCAGCCAGCTCCTCCCCCCCAGGAAGGAGGTCGTGTTGGGAGATGGGGCTGACCAAGAAGGCTGCAGCTCTGCCTCTTCAGCGTGACCTCAGTTCTCCATCCAGAGGCAGAGTGGACGGCACACCCTTTGTACCTGGACTGGCCTAGAGACAGGCTTCGAGCTACATCATGCAGAAGGGGCTTGGTGTGGCGATGAGACTGGGTGCCCTTCTGTGTCTCTGCTGCTAATAACCCAAACCACAGACTGCGTAAGTTAACAAAAGTGGTTTATTGTGGTTCAAGGTTCTAGATTCGTAATGGAAGGTCCCTATATGGTGGTGACCTTTTTGGTGTCAGTGTCCCAAGATGGGGTAGAGCATCACATGAAAGAAAAAGAGAGAGAGAGAGAGAGAGAGAGAGAGAGAGAGAGAGAGAGAGTCTCTTCCTCTTCTGACAAAGCCTCCAGAATTCAGCCACAGGCTCAATTTCAGGTGGAGATGAAGTATGTCTTGCCTATAACCGCTTCAGCCACCCTGGTCAGGTCCAGGTGTGTGGGGAAGCCATGCTGGAAGGGTCAACCCCAGGGATGCCAGGGCCAGGCCCATCTACGACAGACACTGTGCAGAGCAGAGCTATCCAACTGAACCCTGCCCCAACTCTTGACCTGGAGAAATCTGCACAAATGAAAAGGATGGTTGTCAGTGTAGACAGTGATACCCTTGGGTGACTTGTTGTGAGCAGCGAAAGTTTCTGGGACATCGCACAATTAATTACAAGGGTCAGCAGATGGAAAGGAGGTTTATGAGTTTACAAGGTAAGGGCCAGTATTGTGGCACAGAGAGTTAAGCCTACAGCTGCAATGCTGGCAGCGTATATGGAAGCTGGTTTGCATCCTGGCAGCTCCATTTCCTGTGTAGCTCCCTGGTCAAGTGCTGGGAAAGCACCAGAAAATGGCCCAAGTACTTAGGCCTCTGCCGCCTAAGATTCCTGATGTGCTCATTTTAAAGAGTGAACCAGCAGATGGAGCATCTCTCTCCGACTGTCATCTCTGTCTCCCTTCTCTCCTTCCCTCTCTGGAACTCTGTCTGTCAAGCAAATCTGAGATTAGAGCTGCCACCTAATCTTACCTAATCTAAAGAAGCATAGACCCAGCGAGAGCTCAGAATGTATCTTAGTGACTGAATGGCCCAAAGCCTTGGAACCCTGCACCCACGTGGGAGACCCGGAGGAGGCTCCTGGCTCCTGGCTTTGGATCGGCTCATCTCCAGTCATTGCAGCTATTTGGGGAGTCAATCATCAGATGAAAGATCTTTCTCTCTGTCTCTCCTCCTTTTTGTATATCTGCCTCCCCAATAAAAAATATCTTTTTAGGGCCCGGCGCGGTGGCGCAAGTGGTTAAAGGTCCTCGCCTTGCACGCCCGGGATCCCATATGGGCGCCGGTTCTAATCCCGGCAGCCCCGCTTCCCTTCCAGCTCCCTGCCTGTGGCCTGGGAAAGCAGTCGAGGACGGCCCAACGCTTTGGGACCCTGCACCCGCGTGGGAGACCCGGAAGAGGCTCCTGGCTTCGGATCGGCATAGTATCGGCCTGTTGCGCTCACTTGGGGAGTGAATCATCGGACGGAAGATCTTCCTCTCTGTCTCTCCTCTCTGTATATCTGCCTTTCCAATGAAAAAATAATAAAAATAAATCTTTAAAAAAAAATATCTTTTTAAAAAGGAGAAAAATAATGAGTACACTGTCATAGCAGTCAGTGGCTGTGAAAAGAAAGTTGGTTTTGGTATTGACAGAGGCAACACAAGTGTGTTAGCAGAGATGGCTGAGATGGACTCTTCACACAAGGAGTTCAGACGTGACACTGAGAGCAGTTAGTAAGGTGGCAAGGTTTAATGGGATGGGACGGTGCGTCTAGCACAACAGACAGGCACCTCTCCAGATCTGAAAAGGAGTGTCCCATCATCCAGACTGAAGTTAGAGTTCATTAGAGAGAATTCTCCCAGCAGGCCAAGGGAGCATCAGAGCTCTGAGAGTTGCTGAGAGCGATACACTGCCCAATCCGGGCGACTTGCCCGACTGTCTACATTCGGTCTGGGGCTTACGAGCGAATGGAGTCCAGGTCTTCCCACTGATTCTCTCCTAGCCCC